CTTTATAGATGAGGAAACAGGCTCAGTGAGATTAACATGCTTGTCCAAGTCACTCACCGGGAAGTGGCGCCGTGCGGCTCTGAGGAGGTCCTTTCCCCTCCGCAGCTTCGCCCGGTCTCTCCTCTCCTGTCAGATGGAAAGAGGCAGCAGGCGGCCTCTGGGCCGTCCGCTCCGACGTGCTGGGAGTTCATTTCTTTCTGGTCGCTGTCCAGCCCCCGATTCCCACCAGCACCTGGCTAGCGTGCCAGGGGCTCCGGACGTTGCTCCCAGGACTGGTAGGTGACGTCAGCAGCCTCCCAGTCTGGGGAGCCCCGCTGACTGTACCATCTGCCCTGGCACAGTCACTCAGATTCTGGGGTTCCCTGGGGCAGGTGGAGGCCAAGGAGTAGGAAGTGGCTTCTGTGCATGGCCTGGGGCCCCTTCTCCCCCAGGGGGAGCCAACAGGAGCCCAGTCAGACCCTGGCCAGGATCCAGGCTAGAAGTTCCCAGGTCGGGTCAGGAACTGGGGACTCTGCTGGGGAGCCGTCAGCCTCCTCTGACTGTGAGGGGCTGGACAGCGACCCCCCGCAGCTTGCGCTCCATCCTGGCTTTCTAGGGAGGGAGGAGATGGCCGAGCCCCAGATGGCCTAGGGCACTGCCATCCAGGGAGGCTCTGGGCCACTCAGGGGAAACTGGGGATGCAGGTGAGTGAGTTCAATGCGGCAACCATCTCTGGGAACTTGCTGTGGGCACCCAAGGCTTGTGTGAGGTCCCTCAGTGCCCAAGGCTCTGGGCAGAACCCTGTCCCCTGCCCTCCCCAGAGCCCCCATTCCCAAAGACCCACTGACTAGGACACAGCTGTTCAGCCCCAAATGTTCCCCCGAGTGAGGCACTCACACCACACTTGAATGAATACTTGTACAAGTACACACTCATGCTGGTGCACACATGTGCACTCACACTCGTGCACCCATCCGCACTCCCACTGGTGCATGCATGCACACTCACACTTGTGCACCTATCCACACTCACACTCATGCACCCATCCGCACTCACATTTGTGCAACCATCCTCACTCACACTCGTGCACCCATCCTCATACTCGTGCACCCATCCGCACTCACACTCATGCACCCATCCGCACTCACATTTGTACAACCATCTGCACTCACACTCATGCACCCATCCACACTCAACACTGTTGCACACACCCACACTCACGCTGGGGCACACATGCGCACTCACACATGGCGGGACACAGCAGAATGAGAACAGGGAGCATCAGCAGAAAAACAGTAACAAGAGAATGTGAGAGAGAGGAAAGAAAAACCAGAAACAGAAAAGGACAGCAGAAGAAATAAGGACCAGGCAGGAAAGGAGGGAGACAGAAGTGTGGGTGCGACAAGACGGGGTGCGCTCCCCCTCCGCCTCGCACCTTCACTCTGCTCTTGGAGGCCCTCGCACCGCAAGGCCAGGGAAGGCGGTGTGCCCCACTGGGGCCCCACGAGGGGAGGAGGGTGGCCACACTGTGTCCCAAGGGAAGGGAGTGATGACATGTCCTGGAACTGTCATCTCTCTAGAGTGGAAACCTGGGTGTGAGGCAGCTGGGGGAGGGAGCGGCTAAGAAGGGCTTCAGGGCCGCAATCAGGCCAAGGCTTCCTGCCGGCCTGGAAGAGGGGAGGAAGCCGGCCCCTGCCGTGGTGGCTCTGGACTCCCGCACCCCTGGTTGCCAAAGCCGCAGCAGGGCGAGGATGGGAGGGAGGCCGGGAGCCCAGGCTGAGTTCACACAGTGGGTTCACATACCAACGGGCACTGGGAGCCTGGCTGCTGTGCTGCGCGCTGGGGACCCTGTCCTTGAGGAAGGGAAGCGGCAAGGAGCAGATAGTGGCCCTGGGATGCCGCTGCGTCTGGGACAACTGCTGCTAAGCAAGGTGCTGGGGCAGACGGCAGAGATCAGGGGTGGCTTCTCAGAGGAGGTGATGCGTGAGCTGTCATCTGAAGGGCCAAGAGGAGTTAGCCAGCTGGAGAGGTGAGGCCAGGCATCCCAGGCAGAAGGGACGGCAAGTGCACAGGCCTGTGCAAGGTGTGGTTGGACCACGGGGGCGGGGCTTGCCTGGGGAGGGCTTTGGGCTGTATTCTGAGGACAAGGAGGCACTGAAGCATACTAAGCAGGGAAGTGATGTGACCCGAATTGTTTCTAAGCATCCCTCTGGGAGAAGGGATGGGGGGTGGGGGGATGTGAAGGGAGGCTGCTGTGAGGAGTCCTCGGTGTGGGAGATGGAGGTGGTGGGTAGGGCAGTGGCTGTGCAGATAGATGTGGTGACGAATAAACTGCCCAGAAGGCAGCAGTGAAGGGGAAGGTCCTAGACAGTCAGTCAGGCCGGGGTGGGAGAGGCGAAGGGGAGCCCCAGGGGGCTAGCCCAGCCCTTCCCCCCAAGTGGCTGGCGTGTGCTCATGAGCCCCAGCCGTTTCCTGCCTCCAAGTGGCGGCATCTCAGAGCTGGTCTGGAATGTTCTGTCCACAGAAGAGCCAAGCTGGTCAGGGCGATTTCCTGGTGGAGGGAGGGGCCAGGCCCAGGAGGGCTGGCGGCTGTCCCGGGGCCGAGGTGGGCCCACGACGAGGCTGTGGAAAGAGGCTTTGCAGCAGGCATCTTGCAGACGAAGCCGAGCTTCGGGAAGTGACCATGGAGGGAGCTTGGCCTTTTTGATTGCGTAACAGGAAATGCCAGGTCACGGCCGGCCTCGGCAGCGGGGCTGTGTGTTATTTATGTCTCGGATCACATATTAGGCCCAAAACTGTTGTTAATGAATGGAGAAGAAGTCAGTGTGGAGTCTGGCCCTTTACAACAACAACAAAAAAACAGAAACCAGGTGCTGGCCCATGGCCTCACCCTCCAGGCCCTGGCCCGAGCTCAGCCCCTCACTGCCACCCAGCTCAGGAGGAGGCCCGGCCCCTCCGCACCCCGAGGGTCGCCGGCTCAGCCAGTGGTGGTTCTAGGGCTCCCAGGACTTTCCCAGGACTAGGTGGGAAGGGGAGGTGGGTGAGGGCAGGGGAAGGAGGCCACCCTTCTTTTCCAGGGCCAGGTAACCTGAGCTGGAGCTTCGCATAGGGGCTGGGCCGTGCCAGGGACCAAGCAGGCAGGAGGCTCCGGGCAGCCTGGTGAAATGCGACCTTCTGCCCTGGCTGGGAGGGGAGGTGGGGGCGGTGGGAAGGGGAGGTGGGTGAGGGCAGGGGAAGGAGGCCACCCTTCTTTTCTAGGGCCAGGTAACCTGAGCTGGAGCTTCGCATAGGGCTGGGCAGTGCCAGGGACCAAGCAGGCAGGAGGCTCCGGGCAGCCTGGTGAAATGCGACCTTCTGCCCTGGCTGAGGAGAGGGGAGGGGGAGGGGGGGCAGCGCATGCCTGGGATCCTCCACACACTTTAAACCGGGCCTCAGGACACCAGGACCCCCTCTCGCGCCTGCAGGCGCGGCCCTGTCTGGGTGTGGGGAGGACCTGAGGTGGGGCGGGATGTCCGCCACAGGAAGGGCAGCTGGGCGGTGGGCGGGCGGGCCCCTTGCCGTGGCCGTCCCAGGACACCTTGTACTTTGCTGCTAAGACATCTGTTGAGCAGCTAGTGCTGTGCCAGGCCCGGAGTGGGCGCAGGCACGCTGAGCAGACAGGGGCCAGGAGACCTGGGTACTCGCCCAGCACTCACCACCAGCTCCTCTGCTTGGTGAAGGGCATGGGGGCCGAGGCTGCCTGTGGAGCGAGCTCTCCACGGACACGGGAGAGGGGAGGGGGGTGGCAGTGTGGCTCGGAGCTGGAGGACAGTCCGGGCTCTGTGAGAGCCAGCAGGCGGAGAAAGCGAGGGCCTGGGTGTGGCTCAGAGTCAGAGGCTGGACCAGACCCGGGGGCTAAAGGTGGCTGAGCCCAGAGGCTGCTGCTGAGCTCTGGGGGCCGAGCGCCACACAGAGAAGCAGGAGGGGACAGCTGGGCCCAGGCCGGAGGCACTGGTGCCAGGGGCCCTGCAGCCACAGGGCAGGGTAGTTGAGTTTCCTGAAGGGCAGACTTCAGACCCTCCAGCACGTGGTCCAGGCTCACCCAGGCCTGAGCTGTCCCATGACAAACCCCTGTCCTTGGCCTCTGCTCCAGCTGTCCCTGCGCAGGCACAGACCTGAACTGACCAAGGCTGACCCTCATCATGCCCTCACCCACTGCCCTTCCCTTCAGACCACAGTCACCTGGAGTCACCCATTGATGCCGCCTCCGTCTGCTCTCCTCGAAGCCGAGAGAGCTCCCAGCACACACCTAGCCCATCTGTCACCCCCACCCCTCGCTGCCTGCAAGCTCCAGCTCCGAGTCCTCCCCATCGCTGCCTCGGGGCCTCTGCAGGCTCTCCCTTACCCAGACCACTCTTTCACCCTCCCCCAAACCCAACGTGGGTGCTGCTCCCTCCAGAAAGCCCTGCTGCTCCTCGATAAGTAGGTGAGAGGCACCACCCCCTCCCCCACTGCCACCCAAGACTGCAGCCCCCTGGCTCCTGGGCCAGCACTGCCCCAGGCTCCTGGGCCAGCCTGTCTCCAAGCTGATTGGCTGCCTGTCCTGCTGCACCACTTCCCTTCTCCCTGGCCGGCCTGCACCTGGAGTCACCCATTGATGCCGCCTCCGTCTGCTCTCCTCGAAGCCGAGAGAGCTCCCAGCACACACCTAGCCCATCTGTCACCCCCACCCCTCGCTGCCTGCACGCTCCAGCTCCGAGTCCTCCCCATCGCTGCCTCTGGGCCTGCACCACTTCCCTTCTCCCTGGCCGGCCTGGGGGAAACCCCTGGGGAAAACGGCAGTGAATGGGGGGACGAGGGTGGGGCAGGGAGACGGGGGAAGGAGAATGTGACCCCCACCCTAGCCTGCCTCACAACTGGGATCAAAAAATATCCAGGGGCCTTGGCAACTGGCCCTCAGCTGCCAGGGCCTGACATCAGCCGGGCAGCAGAGCAGCACTCTCCCCTCGCGGCCCACTCCTCCTCTGCCTCCTCCTCCCCCCTCCCTGCCCAGAGCAGCAAGTACCAGCTGGCAGCAGGCATGCCAGGCCTGCCAGCCCAGGGTCAGGTGGCCTCCCCGCCCCGGCCACCACAGCCTGGCCCTCTGCGCAGACCTCTCCACAGTGCCACCGTGACAGTGACTCCTCCACGCCGGCCCCGGGAAGGCCTGTGCCCGCCGCCCTCAGTGGGCACTGGACCCTCCCTCCAAGCTCTCCCGGCAGGAGGCCCTGGTGAGTGCGGCCCTGGGGGAGGCATGGGCATGGGCTTGCTGCCCCCTGATGGTGCCAGCGGTCTGAGGCGTGGGCCTCACCTCTGTCCAGGGCTGATTAAGGATCTGCCCCGTGGAGGTGGCAGTGTGTCTGTGTGTCTGTCTGTGTAGGTGTGGGGGCAAGTTCCAGCAGTTCAGCAACATAGAAATTCTGTCATTTGCTTTTCTCCCACCTTGGTCCCCTCCCCTAGACTAATTCCAACCTCTGCTTCCTGCGGCCCCTGCAGGAAGGCAGGGTGTGGGGGTGCTGGGCTGAGTGGGGGTGCTGGGCTGAGCGGGGGCGGGGGGTGCTGGGC